GGGGGGGGGGACTTCGCACATGAAAGGGTGAGGATGCTCGTCGGAAATTTTGAATTAAACCCCTCAAGGAGACCAATCATGGCGTGGCTCAGGATTTTTTTGACCCCTAAAAGAGACCATATTTAAAACATGTTAAATATATATTTTTATATTTCTTCCCTCGATCGAAACCCTAAACGAGACCTTCACGGCTACATATAGGCTACAAATGATGGCGTTTTGCCTTGAACATCCTAAGTGAGACCAAAACCCGAAATTTACACCCCTAAGCGAGGTGACGAGCATCCCACCCCTTTCATATGCAAGTCCCACCCCCCCCCCCTAACCTCCCCTCCGCCGGGGCTAAATGAATCTTTCCGGGGACCGATGGCGTAGATGTCTGTAGTAGCCAAAATGACCTTAAAACTTGATTTGAACCCCCTTCCAGTTAAGTCAGTAATTAACAATCACTTCCATTTAATTGTTTTAAATATATAAATTCGGAGTTACTGATCAGGAGCCGCGGTTTGATCACTGTTTTCGTCATTCTGTACTCGTTTCAGTCCGAAGACGACAACCAAAATGATACAGCTTCCCCTTCAAATGACGATGAAATTGAAGACCCGGGTAGCAGCAACAGTGATGATCACCAAAGTGACGAGAAGTCAAGTTCCGATTGCGAGTCCGAAGAAATCTGGAACGGGGTACTACCCGAGATGTTGTCCAGAGACATAGAAAGTGCCCCGCCGCTTCCCGAGTTTCAGCGCCGGCAGACACCATTACAGAAAGTGAATTCACTGATATTTTGGTTTGTTTATTTTCTGCTTATCTGGCAAGCGACTTGCCATCTGAGTGATAATGGAATGGCTTGGTTGCTCCGGTTCCTCGTCTCATGGCTCAAGGTTCTGGGCATAGAAATCTCAAATGAAGTTTTTGAGAAGATAATATTGAGCTTCCCTGGATCACTCTACCTCGTCAGACAATTCCTGAATTTTGATAGAGATAACTTTAACAAGTTTGTGGTTTGCCCCAAGTGTACGAAGCTGTATAAATACGATTCCTGCCTTACGATGGTGAACAATCGACAAGTTGCCAAAACGTGTAGCAACACTTATTTTTCCAGAGGGAGGAAAGTGAATTGTAATGCTACTATTGTCACGCGAGTTACTCTTCAAAACGGTAAATCGTGTTTTTACCCAATCAAATATTATTGCACCAATAGCATTATCGAAGAGCTCGAAAAATTTGTCCAGCGGCAAAACTTCGCCTCGAATTGCGAGTTATGGAGGAAAAGAGAGGTGGGGGAACAAATACTTGCCGATGTATATGACGGGAATTTATGGAAGGAGTTTCAAACCGTTGGTGGAGCAGATTTCCTGAAGAAGCCCCGGAATTATGGCTTTATGTTAAACTTTGACTTCTTTCAACCAATGACACGTCGGAAAGATTACTCAGTTGGGGTATTTTATTTGGCAACTTTAAATTTACCTAGAGCTGAACGTTTTAAATGGGAAAACATAATTGTCATTGGCGTTGTTCCTTCACTTGATCGTGAACCTAAAGATCTGAACGAGTTCTTGGAGCCAGCGGTGGATGAACTTAAGGCCTTGTGGAAGGGCGTTCGTTTGAAGTCTTCTCTAAGCAGATTTGCTTTAATGTTCCGTGCTGCAGTTATGTGTGTTTCCTCTGACGTTCCTGCAACTCGAAAGATCTGTGGATTTAAGAGTCACTCAGCAGTATTTGGATGCTCGCGTTGTTTAAAACAATTTCCTGGTGGCTTTGGGGAAAAAAGGGATTATTCCGGATTTG